CGCCCCCCAGGGGGCCTTGGAGCCTCTGCACAGAGCCTTAGCCCTCCCCCCTCCCCCCTCCCCACCTACCTGGTAGAGGCCTCCTTCTGCCCCAAGGTACTCAGAGCTGGGCAGGCTGTGCTGCCGCTCGAACCCAGTGCGACACACCCCGTTGGGCTGCCTGGCGGCGGCGGCCAGACAATGATCACTGGTGGACGGGGTCATGGCCGCAGGGCTGGAGGCGGAGGGGCCCCTGCGGGACAGCGTCTCCTTCCGGTGGTGGATCAGCTTCCTGCCGGGGGAACGGGGCTCTGGGGTCACCTCACAGCTCCCCATCTTCACGTGCTCCCTGTGGGATGCTGCCCCCCAGCCCAGGACCTTCCCCCTCCGGCATCTCCACCCCACTCGGCCCTCCCCCAGCTCAGCCCGGGTACCTCCCTGGTACCCCCGAGGGACCCCACTCACTGGAGGACCCCGCGTTGCTCCAGACTGTACTTGCCGCCCTCCCGCATGGCTGCGTTGTGCACAGCCTCGATGGCCCGGTCGATGGCTTGGAGGACGTCCTGCTCCAGGCCCTGCGGGGGGTGGGGGGTGGGGGGGGAGGCGATCAGACCAGGGGCCAGGGAAGGGCACTGACCCAGGCCCAGGCTAGATGGAGCCGGAGCCCCGAGTGCTGGATGGGGACACGGAGAGCCGGAGGGGGATCCCAACCGGCTCCCAAGCTGCGTCACCCAGGGAGCTGGGGCGGGTCCCACTTAGGGGTCCACCCCAGTGAGGTTCTCAGCTCAGATGTCTGAAAACCGGGCGCCCCCAGCAAAAACAGCCCAGGGACCCCAGCTGAGGCCAGGGGACACGCAGTCCCTCCCAGGCTGGACCCCGGCTCAGGCTGAGATGCCCTGCAGGGAGCCCCTAGTGTCCGGGTCCTTTAACAAGTCACCCTGGGTCCTGCTGCCCCTCCACAAAACCAAGGTCACACTCCCACGCACCCTGTGCTCACGGAGCCTCTGCAGGCCCTGGCAGCGACCATCTCCCCTCCCCTCCCCTCCCTCCCCTGCTC